TAAATTTTGAACGAGACGCCAGAAATGGCTTGTCAATACAGCCTGATGCAACCTCAGACCTAGGTTCCTGATCCGTATGGCGAGAAGGTTCGCCCAAAACGGCACGGTCTCGTAAACTGAAAAACGGAAGGGAAAGACCAAGAACGAGTGGGATGAACAAAGGTGGAATAAAGTGATTAAACGGTGGTGCGACAAAACGTAGTTTGGCAGGTTCAGCCGCCAGTACATCGGACGTGGAGCGTAAATCGAGAGAGAGAAAGCAGACAGAGCGAGAGCAGACAGAGCGAGAGCAGACAGAATGAGCGAAGAATTGTTGTGACATGGATCCATGGGTTGTGACTGTAAGCAGGACAAAGCCCCCGGTACTTCGAATTTCAAGCTTCACTGCTGCAGAGACAAAAAAGAGTGAGAGGAACGTCTCATAACTCCAGGAAACTATTACTGACATCCTTGAAATCCGGAAACAGAGTGAACCAATTCACAGCTAGGCCTCGTAAGGCCTTCTACAGTATTACATTCCATTAGTGCAGGTGGAAGTAAATTCCAACTACGTACTACACGGTTAGAGAAAAATTTCGCCCGAATTTCCAGTCTGGATTTATGCTTTTTGAGCTTCGGATGGTGTCACCGCAGATGATCCGACGTAGCTAGTTCAACGGGCTCGGTAGGCTTAATGCCAACGAGATCCTTCATAATATTAAACGTTTCTATCAGATCTCCTCTTATTCTACCTCGTTCCAATGAGAACAAGCCGAAACAGTCCATGCGGTCAACCTACGACTTCTCATAGTAGCCTTCAATAATTCTGGTGGCTTCTTTGTACCTTATATAAGCAAGCGACATCCTTTCGAAATTAAGGTGCCTAAGCCTGAACACAATACTCTAAGTGCGGCCGAGCCACCGCCTTGTGCAATGGGAGAAAGGCCTCAGGTTTAGTATTAAGTAAGGCTCTCCTGAGGCAAAACGTTCTTGCGGCTCTCTGTTAGCAGCAAATTGGCCTTGCACCCAAGTTCCTTGCATTATGGACACACTGCAATGTCAGGGACCCTCTGGATGTTTGCATGGTAATCCCAACATGCTAGATGATAACAGCTGCCGTTTGTTCGTGTTCAATGGTAAGTCGCATGGTTCAGACCACTTTACCAGTGCCCAGGTCCTTAGACAACGTATCTCTTGTCGTTTCGCATCTGAACAAGTGTTCTGCGTCTCATCCAGTGTCTGCGTGTCCGCCAGACTCACCTTCACATCGTGTTGCTTCAGGCCGTTCATTATAGGACAGTCGATCTCTGAAGAGTGGATCAAGTGACAGACAAAGCGTTTCCGTCAGATCTGCATTGTCTTTAATCTTGTGCAGGTAGTGCATGATCTACCATCGATCAGCGTCCTTAGCGGCTCCAATCTTGGTCCATACACAGCCTCCATGGAATCAAAGGATTCCTTGTGTTGACGGCGTTCGTCGTAGCATTCCATCTCCTACGTCTTCTCCGTCCATCATGCATTTTTTAATTCATGTGCAGCAAATGCTGCATGCTTCTCCCACACCAACGCGCCAATCGTCGCATTGTTCTCATCAAACCAATCAGGCCGCCTACAGTTGGCGCGCTCAATGGTCTCCTCGGCAGCAGCTGTCACCTGGTCGTGAATGTGTTGCCACAGGTCGCCCACCGTGGCGATGCAGTTCACATCACTCCGGTTTGAAGTCATCGCATTCTCTAGCTGAATGCCTTTCTCTACAGTACCGAGGGAGAGAATATTAAGTTTACGCCGATTCACGGCGGGAGTGCAATGCATAGATTTACGACAAAATATGTATAGTTTGGTGCACATCAATTTTTGGTCAGTGCCACACTCAGCTCCACGCAGTACATGTATGATGCGCACTTCACGCACAGCACGCTGACCTATAATGACATAGTCGAGCAGGTGAGCGTGACCACTCCGTGGGTGTGTCCAAGTTGCTAGCTCACTCGCGCTCAGTGCAAACCGAGTGTTCGTGATCGTCAGGCCGTAAGTGGCAAGCAGTGAGATCAGCCTCTCACCGTTCGCATTGGCTGAACCAATGCCATGCCGACCAAAGCTTCTGTCCACACCGATGCATCACGCCCAACGAGCGCGTTGAAATCACCCAGCAGAAATAGTCGGTTGCTCTTCGGCACAGACCGTACCACGGAGGATAGCTGAGTGCAGAATTGACCGCGCGTGTCATCAGGACAACACATGGTCGGACCGTACGTGCTTATAAAGGTTGCAAACTTACAGCTTCCGAGTTGTAGGCGAATAGGCATCAGTCGCGCGCTGATGCTTGCTGGTTCACCCACCAGCTGGCCATGGATGCAATCGGATATTACAAATCTGACCCCACGTTCACGTTGTGCTGAGGCGGTGTTGCACCTCCAGTAGAGTATATAGCCAGCACCTCCTTCATAGAACTTACCTAGCTCAGGGAGCCGAGTCGCACTGAGCGCCGCAATATCGCGACCGAGTGCAGTGCGTCGCTCGGGGCGCTCACTCGACTTCCGGTCCAGTAGCGTGCGCACGTTCCAGCACCTGATGTTGAGTGCTTTGCACGCACGCATATGATTGAATTGGTGGGCAATAGCATGCGGGGTGGCGGATGTGTTTCGGAGGTTTGTTTGATGGACGACACCCGTAGCTTTTAGCTTAATAGCCTGACCCACAAGACCGTGTGGAGCAGATTTAGCTCTGGAATGTTATTGCAGAGACACATTGGGATCTGCTTGAAGTCCGTCACACACAGCCTTTGAGGTAATGGAAAAATTCATACATCTTTTACAACCGTAGTTAACTACGCACCTGCAACCACGGCTAGGCGCAGATGAGTTTAAACGGGTTTGCGTCAAGTTGATCAGTGGCTGCCTGGCTTGAGGCGGCAGGTAGCAAATCATTGAACACCCGGAGGTGCCCTCCCACCGTCAGAGACATTGCGTGGCACTCGTGCTCTACACCAATCTAGCTGTGAGCTTATAACATGAAGACCTGTTTTCTCCCATGGATAATTTTTACTGGAAAAGGGCCATCAAGCACTTCCTAACCTCCGAAGAGGACGGACTAGGATACTGGCAGGGCACCCGCACCTGACAGGAGAACGACTCGGGTCCTCAGCCGGCCGGTGGCCGAGTGGTCGGCACGTTTGCTTTCCAACCATAAGGTCACCGGTTCGAATCCGCGTAGGGGTGGGCGTCCTTGCGGTATACTCAGCCCGCGCGCGACTGGTGGTGGTCGCGCGGCAGCGAAGCGCCGGTACGGCGTATAAGCTGACACATTTCATTTTTCATTTCTCAGCTAAAGCTTTCGATTAAATGTACACCCTAATGTCAGTGGGTCTAGTACATGGTCAGTTCACTGACTTATGCGGATTAGTGTCCTAGATCTTAGCAGGGAGAAAGGCATAATCCAACTCCCCCCCAGCGGTCGTCACGTGTAGGCGTCTAGTACATGAGCCCATGGCACAACGGGAGCAGCAGTGGGTAGACCGTCTGTCAGGATCCAGCATTATTAAGTTTACTATTGGAATAGGGTACAAGAATGGACGAAAATGTACTGAAGCGCAGTCACCAAATGCTCAAAATTTGATAGCCATATATATATGTATGTATGGACTTGCTTGGTTATAGTAAGCTTTCAGATACGTGGCTGGTGTCTCATTGTTTACATGGTACGCATCACCATTGTGCAATGTAGTACAGGCAGAGTTTAACATTAAGAAACCAGCACTGCCCACGACAGACTTTCAGCTTTCTGTGGGTACTCGTGAGCGGTGCAAGGGACATTGTTTAGTTATAGGTGAACAACTATGTCAAAAATCGCACAGGTGTTATGTCTAATTTGAAGCACTGTGTGAAGCACGGACTCTTTGCAGACGCTCTTTGTGATGGCTACTGGAAATGTGAAACGAGCAAACGGAGAAAGGTCAGTGGAAACAGAACCACTTTGATCAAGCTACTTTTCGAGCAATATTTCACGAACTTGTACTTTTCAATACAGGGTATGGCAGTCGGTAACGGCTTGGTTCGAGCAAGCCTTAACTGGGCGAAAGCGCATCTGCAGCACAGAGGAAACTGGTTGACTCGTGTTGCACGGGAGACGCACCTAATCTGACGAATATAATTTAGCCAACAGAGCATCGACGAAGGAAGTGCTTGAAAAATCACAAGTCGCCTCAGCAACAACTCATCATAGCGGGTTGTGCTACACAGCCAGCGGGACTTGGATGCTGACAACCTTAGCTGAAACAAATAAATGGGTACTAAACCGGTCGTGTAGTGCGATATTGCGAGCGGGCTGCTCTTATTCGCTAATGGCTGCTCATTCCGAGACTCCGGCTAAAATCCCATAAAGGTTACAAGCCACTTAGATTAAGACAAACCGAAACAGCTTAGAACATTTAAGGTCAAACCAGTTTAGGAATTTTTGATTTGCGCTGTCGTTGCTACATGTGATCCAGCGTAGTAATTACGCAGAGTTGCTCTTCTTGATGTCAAAAAAAACTATTGCGTACAGGAAACGGAAACTGACAGCGTTGACTGTAAAACAACGTTTGTCGTATCGCAACTGAACGGTGCTTACTTTGTGCTCTTCAAATTTATCGAGTTAAACTACTCCGGAGGATAATTTGTTGTGTTCCTTAGGGCTTCTAAATCTCCTGTGGGGTATGGGGACGCCTAGGATTTACACCTTAGGAGAATGAGTAGCAAATACTCATTTGCTAGTGTACCTAAAATATGTTATTATTGCAATAAACTAAGTGGCTTCAATTGCTACAGAAAGGATTTTCCGAAGCAATGCATCTAACCAAGCAGAGCAGATACGAGAAATAGGTTGATCACGGCAACTTCGTCAGTACCTAGCACGTGAATGATTTCGTTCAGTACGCTACCTATAGAGTTTTCGTAAGAACGCACTGAACGAACTTTTGGTGTGCGGAATTCATCAAAAGCATAAAGCAATCAAATTAACATATTCACTTCAATGCACCGTACCCGAGAATGGCAATGAGTGCGCAGAGCCCCCAGGTCAAGGCGCCATTTTGAAATTCAACTTTGGTGGTGCACTGCTGATGACACACTGGACACATGCCAGGCGACGGTTGGAACGACGATGGTATCGGAACGTATTGCGGCTGCGTGGTAACCGGTTGGCCGTAGGCTGTTTGGAATAGTAAGATGGTATTAAAACGTAGCATTGGATTAATGTTATTTCGTAATTAGCGGTCTGTGTGTGGTACTAACGACGTCTACAATGTGTTGCATTATACCATTAGATATACAATTATTGCGCTAGTAAGCTTATATTATGATATGTGAAATTCCGACCAATACGGAGGGGGAGTGGCGGCTGTAAGAGATAAAATGTCTACATCAGCTGGGCACACAAGTATTGTAAGCGTGGTAAACATTAAGACTTTATGCGTGAAGGTGTTATATATGCAAGTAAGAATAGTAGAAGCAGTGGTAGCTAATCGCACAACACAACTCCCAGTAGTAAGTCAGTAGGTTGAATAAACATTTTAGAATAGACCAGCAATCGGATACAGATTATAGATTAGTAACTTTCCTTATTTTGATGTCCCATCCACTACATTCTAAACCTGCGATCTAACCAAATATGTGAAGTAAATATGTCTCAGGGTCAATAAGTACTCCCCAACGGAACGTACGGCGGCACTGTCGTACAGAAAATGCGAAACACTTGCCGATATTTTAACGGGAACCTAGTCGACATGTAATGCGGCCCGGACTGGTGATTAGATTGCGTGTAGGAAAATGTAGGGTCACCGGTACCTGAATGTTGTCATGGCAACTTGAGATATATGGGATGTAGCATTTCCGTAGTGTAAGAAGATAAAATTTACGACCATTCCTGGCGTATTTACAAATTCTTCGTTTGAGACGCTGCATTAGTTCAGTGTAGTACCTTTCAAAGAAGGTGCGAACACTTTCAAGGAAATCCGCCACCATCACATCGCGTGCATTCCACGCACCGACCACATCGCTTCCCTCGCTGAGGTTATGACCTTGGCCATTTTGGAGTCGGAGGTTCGGCTCATTCCCATTGCTTCGATTGTTATTTTGGTTAGGCAGATAGTGTTTGGATCCGTCATGCCTTTGCAGTGTTTAATCGAGCAGGGAAATTATCATCATGGCTTTCATGGTGTCCCAAGTTGTTTATTGGCATGTTGTCCTGAGTTCGCAGCTGCTCAAGTGCAAAGTATCCAGGGCTTAGCGAGCAGGAACTTGTGAGCAACACGGTTAATTTTCAAGATACTAATCAACTTGATCCCGGGAGTTGTCCAACCTGTCGGCTACCTGACGTGCTGACAGTTGATGATCTTACATGTTTATGTCTACAAAACGGTAAGATTTTGTTTGTGGTGATATTTGGCAGTCTTTATTACTTATCACCAATCCTAAACGCTCTATTTTCAATTCATACATTATTGTGCCCAGCTTTGGCTGTATGTTATGGGAGATTTGCATGTATGGTAGTTAGCAAGGAATGGTGCCGAAATCGAACTCATTGATTGAGACATGAATAATCAAGCCTATTCAACTGCGCTATTCTACGTAACTCGAGGTCTCTTGTCGCCCTAGCCTGAGGTACATGAATAATAAACCGCCTTCCTGAATTTCTATCAAATCTAATTGAACCAGAAATACATAACATTACACACCTTAGCTAGATATGAAAAATATATCAACTACAGCGTCATCATACAGGAGAGAAGAAACAAAAATACAACAGTTGCACGCCAGCTGAGCTACCAGTACCGGATGGGCATCGTTTAGGAAAGCTAACTGCCGGGTATGCAGCAAAAGTAATTATTATGCAACCTACGTATTGCGCTAGGAAATAAGATCACACTTAGAGGTGTGGCTGAGAGGGAAGCAAGAAAGATGTAGTTAGTTGAATATCACCTTCAAGTTGTCCACAACACGGGAGCAGCGCATGAGGTGGAGTGTGGAAATCGGGCTCATTGGCCGGCCACCTAACGGCCGGCATAAAAGCTAACACAAAGTTGACATCTATCAATGAACTACTAACAACAAAGGCCCTATATTGCGTGTACACAAACGCCCAAGGCCTTCTAAGCAAGTTAGCTGAACTTAGAGTACTCCATGTTTCACAACCGCGGGACTACGCCATGATTACAGAGAAATGGCTAAACCCTGATATAACCGATTCTGAGGCCAACTTACCCGGTATGTCGCTGCTTCCTACGGATTGAATCGGGAGGTGTGGCGGTGTGATTCTTTACTATAATACAAACCTCCGATGTGAAGTTATCGATCATCCGGAAATCCGAGCTCCCGATTCGCTTTGGTGCCGTCCTTGGTTGCGAAACAAGGACACATGTCTACTAGCCGTGATTATCGCCCACCAAACTCAACGTCGAAATGGACTCCAATTGAACCATATTTTTCATTTGGCTTTGAACAAGTCCTACACCCACGTTCTTATTGCTGGAGGCTTTAACGTGCACGACATAGAAACGCCGGCAACCGACGGTATGCAGTTTAAAGCCTGCTTGCAAGAGCTAATTTCTAGCCACCCTCTTTACAATCATGTAACCTCTCCCACCAGATTTCGAACTTCTAACAAGCCGTCGATTACTGGATCTTGTGCTCACTAACGAAGAACTCATGGCTGACTGGTTGTTACAAGCACACCATTGGGTCGTAGTGATCACGTTACTCAACTCTTTGACTATATTTGCTATGCGGAGTACCCTGAAAAGGAGGAGGTATAAAGTCTACTGTCACGCACTACAATGTGTTATCTAAGCTCTGTTAAGGGTACATCTTGGACATTCTTAACCGAATGCCCCCAGATGTTGCCTGGAAAACATTTACAAGGACGTTTAACACACCGGTTGCGCACGCATCGGAACAGAAGTTCTTTCAACCCAAAAACAAGCTTAAGTCAGTTCTGAGGAGTAGAACACATAAATGTATGTCCCGGAGGGACTTGACATGGTGTGATCAACAGGACTGCTTGAATGCCGAAACCAGGATTGCATACGTGACACATCGTAACTTCTGTGTGAAACTGATTCGCGAAGACAAGATCACTCATCAGCAGAAGTTAATGAAGCGATTCCGCACGAACCGCAAACTCCTGTACAGGCACGTTAACGACCTTCGAAAGGTGAAGCGGGGGGTTCCAGCGCTAGTCACGGCTGATGGGTGCATGCGATCAGCAATGGAAGCAGCTGATCTCCTATGGCTTGATTACTCCCAAACTTTCCCAAACATTCTCATTTCTAATACTCCGCCATCTTGTTTGGAAAACAGCATCTTCACTGCGGAAGCTGTATTGAGGAACTTGATATCCTTGCGTATCCACAGTTCTCCGGGGCTGACAACATCCGACCAAAGTGTTTGCAGTCGGTAGCTAGTGATCTAGCAGAAGCACTGGCTGT